ACTATAAATAAGCTATGGGGATAGCCAATCTAAAGATACAACTCAGGAAACTTCCAATTCAGTGCTGAATCCAGGGGATGTACAGAGGATTAAATTTTGCTTGCTTCTAAAAATATCACCCACTACACCAAACCACTCAGTACTTAGCACTAAGAGTGTTGTAGTTGTAAAATCTTCAAACAAAGATTATTACCTGTGTGATTTAATGTGCTGCCAGGTGTATGGCCTTACCCTCTGTTCCAAAACAGAATCATAAGCATACTTCCACCATTTACGAGTGTTATTGCTGACAGACACACCTGGATGAAACTGCCTGAAGTTTCTATAAAAAACAAATAAATTAATAGGCATGTACATGCAATTTGTGTTGCTAGTTACCAGTTAAGTTTCAAAAAAAGAATGTTACCTGTTGATACTCATACGTTGAAAAGATTCTGTAAGTCCTATGATGGACAGAAACTGCTGACGAGACAGTTGAGTTGCAGCATCTTGAAGAACAAAGTCTGCCAACAGCTTGGGAACACGAGCTTCATTTGATTTATTCACAATGATCTTCATTTTAGCAGTGATTGGCTTCACAACTACACACAAAGAATAATTACAGCATCATTACTGGTAAACACATAAAAAATCTCTGAAAATAGTCGTTTAAAATAGGTCACTTAAGGGGTGGGCTACAGACTAGAGATACAAGGTTCAGCTCATCGCAGGAGCACTGCGATCTATCATCAGATTCATATCCAGAATAACTTTGGAGCCTACTCAGACTCTAAAGCATATTTGGAGATCTCTTTCTATGAGTAAAGTAACCTCAGCTTGAAGCTAACCACTCTCCTCAATCTAGTTCCAAGACTAACCTTCTGAAGCTGGAGCTTGTGTACATAATATTAATTAATTCAGTTCCTACTGCAAAACAAACACAACACATCTCCATTACAGAGATCTACTAGTTAATGCTGTTCAAAGAAACAATCTGTTTACACTATATATCATACATAATCCATAATTACAAAATGTACAGTTACTGACTGTTACAGCAACTGGTACATATAGTTACCATTCAACTCTAAAGGATTAAGATTGAGTTAACATTTGAATAAGATGAGGATTCAAGTTCAAAAGAATAATATGTTTACACTGGTTCTGATTAGGTATTGAACTTCAGATCTTGGAACAAGAGGCCAGTGCCTTACCCACAAATATATATGTACACAGGCACTTCTTTACAGTTCCAGAAGTTCTAGGACTGTAAAGTAATGTTGGAGACACTCACTGAAATCAAAGTCATCTTTGTTGATACTGAAAGTCTCCAAACCTCTTCTCATCTCATTTCGCCAGCAGTAAGGCGCAGATCCAGGGCCAATCAAGTCAGTGACAAGACCACTTGCACCACATGAAGGATTCCAATAGACAGAAAATGATTCCATGCGAACCAACTGGTACAATGAAGATGCCCCTTGAGGTGTGATAGAGGGCTTCCACTTACTATAATAAACCACAAATCAGAGGAAATCCTTATGCATTTCCAACAAGTATTAACTCCATCATGCAGGATCCTTCTTGATAAACTGATAGTTGCTCAATTGATGAATAAAATCCCTCCTTTTAATAGAACCATAGGTTAAATACCATATTGGCAAAAGCCTGTCAATGGGTCCTATTCTGACCTTGTTGAAAGTCAGCCCATAACCTCAAACCCTACTTCTCTAAAATCTGTTGTAATACCGTCTTCCCACATATTCCTATGTCTCCAAAATTATCTCTTCAAGTTTTCTGAATAAAATAACACACATTCAAGTCTGCCACATGAATGCTACATGCCCTGTTCAGAGTTTCTCCTCATTTAATTTTCTCAACCCTCCTGTCACTGCCTCCTACTTGGGTACATGTATCCTTCCTAGCACTTTGTTTCCAGAAAGCCTAAATTTGCATACTTCACTTAATGTGACATAACAAAAGGTACAAAACATTAATGTGAGTTCAATATGACAATTTTGCCTATAGCCAAAGGTACAAATCATTAATGAGAGTTCAATATGACAATTTTGCCTATAGCTTGTAATCCTCTATCATCCTAATTGATTAGGCATGGGGGAAATGTACAGAAAGTTTAAAGAACAAACAGTACTCTGGATTTTATGAAGATTTACTTTAGCAAATAATATAAAGCCCTTACTTGTTAGTTGTTTCCACTGATATGCTCTGGATGCACATACCACAGGCAAAGGAGCAATCTGGATTTGTAACTGTGTCTTCATACCGAATATGAATATTACGAATATATATCTGGAGATTGTTGATTACTGTAGTTACCAAGTTTTCAAGAAATGTCTTGGCATCACCAGGTCCTGTAAAAACTTCAAGTTAAATACATACAAGAAATGGGTCTGAAGTTACTGATCTATAGCTTATCCAACATACAGCAAAAACTGTCGATTCTTATGGGCTTTTACTTCAAACCTACATAAAATCAAATTTTCAACATATGTTTTAACTTTAGTACTGGAACTTCTGAAAAGATAATTAAGAAAACACAACAGGCCTCTATGACAAGTCCAAAATGTACAAATTTATTCATGCATGGGTCAAGGAAATAAATGGTTGAATTCATCATTGCTTGGTAAAATATTAGCTACTGACACTTCAAGTTTTGTGATTCAGAAACTATCCTTCCTTTTTTATGTTTAAAATGTGATTCTGAGGTAACGTAATGCCACTTTGAAATCCCTTAAAAAAAAGTACTTCATAAATCCTTGCAGCTTTATCAGGCCATAACACACACTAAATTTTACTTTCAAATTCATGTCTGATAAACAAACCTGTTGACAGTAAGCTCTCCCCTTCCAAATCTTCCAATTTCTTCTTCTTTGCTGCTCGAATTAATCTCTTCTCCTTTTCAGGATCATATGGTCGATCAACAACTGGCCCAGCAATAACATACACATCCTGCAACATGATTTCCATCTAATAACATGGGACACAGTATTCCTTTAACATCTGATAGATTGTTTAATATTTATTGCATTTTCTATAATAAAATATTACAGAAAACTTCGGTTCCCACACATATGTATAAAATATTTCAATGGAGTTTCTGAAAAGTGTGCTTAATTGATAGGTACTTCTGTATATGCAAGTATCATTTCAGGGCAAATGTACCAGACATCAATGATATGAAATGGACTACTCTGTATAATTTCATCTTACAGGAATACGCCATGCTAAATGTCAGAAGGTTCTCCAACATTTCAATAAATGTTACAGTTGTCATCTTCATACTGAATATCTGTGAGAGGATTTGGAAGTCCTTACATGTATCAGGCAGAAAGTGAGAGGTGATGGCATAATTGGATGAACAGAGCAAAATGCTTTCCAACTGGACTTGATTACACTGCTGAGGAAAGGAGATGATGTAAAATAGAGTTTTAGTAACCAATCATGCCTTCACCAAACACCGATCTCAAATTAAATTTTTAAGCAAACCTTTTTATGGAAGGATACAAGAAGTTGAACCTACGTTTTCATAATTTGTTACAAATGATTACCAATCACATCTGACAACCCAAACAATAACACACCAAAACTGCATATTTATCTGCCATATTAATCAAACTGCGCTTCTTTTTCTTACCTCCACAGACACGGTTACAGATTGAGTATACAGCCCAGTCCATGGAATACTCAAACAAATTCTTCCAATGGTACCTACTTTCACTTCAATTGGTACATCAAGCTCATACTGCAAACATGAATTAAAAGAATTCTGTATGTTTTATAGAAAGAAAATCTGATCACATTACATAAAATTCTAAATGTGCAGAAGACTGTAACAGGATTGACTACAAGAAAATATTCTTTATACTGTATAACACTCAATACAGATGTTAGCACAGCTTGTACAATTATACTATAAAAAGACAGATACCTTTGGCTGCAATAAGCAAATTTAAAACAAATACCATATTTTTTTACATTGTGACATAAATTAATGATTAGGTTATCTAATTAATTTCAATAAGACATGTTAAGAAACATATAATCTTGAACAGTTCAAACGGTGGAAACATGGGTTTGACGCCCACTGAGGCACTGTTGTATATAAGTCCTTAGTTTCTGCCTCCGATGACAAAGTCAAGAGCCACATAACCTATACCCATGTAACCTAAACCATGACCAACATTACGACACTCTGCAACTCTGTACTTCTGCGTGTAACACGAACAAATAACTGGAATTCCAACCATTTTCAAGCATGTCGTCAGCCAAAACTAGCGTCATGTTCTATGTGACGTAATGTGATCTGACTAAACCAACCTTGCCATAATATAATCTAGTCTAGAAGTTTACAAACGTTTCAGAGGTCCTTGCTGCCTCCATCATTAGGGCGATCATCGCCCTGGCTGGTAAACTTCTACCAGACTACACGGTGCGACACAGAAGACAGCCATCTTCGAGTGGTGTCTAACATTACTCGGCTACCCTGACTAGTCTTGCATGTTTTCCTTAGTTGTAAGGCAAGTTCAATGAAAAGAGGCATTGTTGACCTACCCCAAATCATGGCGGCCTTCTGCCAAAACAATTCCTCCCTAAGTCACAGAGGCCTTCAGCTGAAGCAATCCCAAAACTTCTGGGTTCAACTCTCAGACACCCATCTAATCAAAGTTCTTTTTGAAAAGAACAAATTGCCTGATGGGATTATCCTCCCATCAGGAGCAACAGCCCATAATTTGAACATGTCAAAACCATAAGCCGAGACAACAATACCATTAGCCTATGTATATCAAGTTAAAATGTTGTCCATAGAGAATATTAGTGGCAGATCATGTTCAACCTGCAGCCCAGTTTTGAAAATTAACTTTCATACTTTCATAATTGGCTTTTTAAAAACGTTGTAAAGACAAGTTGATTCTCAGAATCATATAAAACTAAGAAGTACCAACCAGAGCTTCAGGCTTCAGTCTCAGTTCCGTAAGCTGAACGTCTCCACTGAAAATACCAACATTGAGGTTTTCAGTGTCAAGGTCTTGAATGTACTTGCCAAGGTACCGGTTCAGAATGGTTGCTACAACACCCTCAAACATTGTAATGCTGGAACCTTACTGCAATGGATATGCTAATGTCTTAGTGTTGATGCTGCTGTTAAAAATGTCTCTGAGAAGTTCTATGCAGCACAAAGAATCGTAGCATACTGAAAATGGATGAAACGTCATTATTAAGTTAATATGTGGTGCATGGTTCCAGGTGGGAAATTACAGATATGCATTGATACACTATTTAATAATCATACACTTGTTTATGAAACAACCAATGTGTCTACCCAGTTTAATTCTGTTAGAGCCTGCTATACCAGTAACATATATATTACAAATATGGTTAGGATATTTGGTGGGTACACTGGGTCATATCTTTTCTGACAGGTGGGATCAGTGGTTTGGTTGTGGTAAGTCATTAAAAGTCATCAGTGATACATAGTCAGTAAAGATTATTATACTTTTTTGCCTACAAATACTTATTTTATAGTAATGTTTTATGTATATTCTAAACATAACTGTACATTGCTCCTAGCTAATTCATACCAACCATTGCATTTTTGCCAAATTATAATTCAAAATTTAATAACTTATTGATAATGTACACAAATGCGACGTTCCCTCAAGTTTTCATTTGTTGCAGTGGTGACTGCTTTTCGTAAATTAAATTATGTAATTCTGAAATTGGAAATATGAAAAAGTAGTCAAATTTGCTATTGTCTTACAGAATTTCTTTATAAATGACAAATGGCAGTTACTTTACATTAGTACTGTAGTAAAGAGGAATGTAATTTATGTAACACTTTTCAGTGGTATACTTCCCAATTTTAAGTAGTTAAAATAAAGTTTATAATGCCTGACTATGTTAAGTCTAAGAGCTAAGTGAAAAATTGTGGCTCATATACTTCGTGCATATATTTTCAATAATTAAACATCTGATGAGTGAAATATTCATGGAAAACTAAGTAAACATTTTACAAATGGATTCAAAGTAGTTTTGTCTTCACATTGTTTAATTTCAGCCATGGACAATCTTCATTACATGTACGAAACAGAGATTTATAACCTTCATAAAAGCGCAATAACATAGTAAACACATCTAATGAAGCATCAGTCCATTTCTATGAGACTACTTGGAACCATGAGAACCTGAATCTCACTAAAATTGTCCAGTTTGAAATGAAGAATGAGAACCTGAAATCTCACTAAAATTGTCCAGTTTGAAACAGAATTAATTTTGGAGGATTGAGCACACGCTCTGCTCGTGAATAAGCCACGTACGCACCTGCGCAACTGGCGTGATCAGCGGCCTAGCAACGAGTGTGACCTTGACTTAAGTGTCACAGAGGAAGATGGGAGAGTACATTACAATTTAATTTGGCATGATGAGGCCAATTAGAAAATTTGGACAAAAATATTACTGAACAGGTTAACAAGGACACAAAAACAAGAAGGAAGAAACTACATTTAACACAGGGCTTGGTCATTAAACTACATTAAAAAGTTATAATTGCAACAAACGTAATTGAAAAATAAAAACAAAAATAAACTAAAGAACTAAGACATCAACACAGAGAAACTTAGTTTTGAAACCCTAAAAGATTATAATAATCAAAAACCTAGCCTCATTTAAAAATGCAAAATAAAAATTTATAATCAAAAGACTAAAGAAAATAAAAATAAATAAATATAAAAAATAAAAATACTGTATAATTACACTGATTCATACCTAATATATACTGACTACCGTATACTAACGCTTCGGAGTTCTATCCCCAAAGCCTGCTATTCTTCTGATTTTCATCTTCTCTTTGCTATAACGGAGCTGTACTTTAAAATAGGCCATGATTTCCGTATTACTACTACCACAATATCACATATGTTACATAATCATAGCGGTAAAATTGTGTGATTTGATACAACACTATAAGACGCACTTACCGGCGCTTATTTAACCTGTTCTTTTTTACGCTCAGTCCTTCAGAACAACATTCAATTAAAATATTACTAGTTTTGTGCATGTATAAGGAGGAAGAAGAACATTTCTATAATAAGATACCTACAAATAATATGTATTTAATTTTCTATATGTAAAATCAAAGGGGTAAAAATATAGTTCTAGAAGTGATTATATTTAAATGCCAAAGTCAGTTGGGGAGATTTTAAATTATCATTCCGAGACTGTCCTCTGACTGATAGAATTATTAAACAAACAGCCGCCCTACAAATTTCAATGATTGCAGATTACACACAGTTCAATTACTGACAACGGTGAGAAAACGAAAGATAACTGCTTACCCACTTTTATGCCGGGTGGGAGGAAAGAACTCTTGCCATCACAGTTATTAAACGTAACAGTACGAAAAATTAAAACCACATTACTGGACTGATAAAACAAAATAAATGTCACAAATCACAGCAACAAATCACGTAAAATTAGAGCAGCACAATGTACGATGATTTGTGCTGTAATTTCACATTTATAAAATACGGATATAATCACAGAGTCACAGTTAACATAACTTGAACGTGAACTGATGTTTGTCCAAACAACAACGAATACCTACTCACAATTTTATCACTACTCGATAAGCCACTTCTCACGGACCGTATGGAAGACAGATAATCATTCATACTTACAGTTGTATAACCCACTGGTTTATCTGCAACCTCGGCTAGGCGCAAGCACAGAATGTTCCACCCCCTCCCTCTATACAAATTACGTGGTGCCACCGCCTTAGCCAATATATCAACATTTTAATATACAATAAGACACCAATTCACATGGAAATAGTGAGATCTAAAATGGCCGTGTTTTATAAAGCTTAACCTACGCATGTCAGCAGTCTCCTCTGTTAAAAAGTAAACGAGCGTTATCCTATTGATTTCCTATACGCCCCTGATGACGCAACCAGCAAAGCTATTCAGCGTAAGATCATATTGTTGGTAGTATGACGTTAATCGTGGTTAGAGCTATTCCCTTTACCCTTTTCCGATGGGCGGGATAGGGTGATAGACTTGCCTGGGACGAGATACCAACCATGGACGGCAGGAGGGGAAATAAGGAACAATATTGTATGGTAGAGTAGTGCGTGGGTCGCTAAGGATCAATATATCAGCTCCTGAACACAAAATGTAATACAGCGTAGCGGCTTCTGTTCCCTATCAACAAGGAAACCGTTGCTCGGGACTGTCCTTTAGTTTTGTAGATCGCATTCCTTTTTGTTCACTCCAATTTGTGAGGTGGGGAGAGTATTTATGTTTTCCGTGTTTCTGTCGTGTTTGTGATGTACAGTAATGTAGCCTATGGTGAAGGCGTAGCTACAATGAGATGAAAAAACTTATGTATTTATGGCAGAAGCTAACAAGGAGGCTTATGAAGATTTCTGTTTTCTGGGATGTTGCGCCGTGTTGTATGGTAGATGTTTACCAACGTTTCAGAGGTCATATTACCTCCGTAATCAGGGCGCAACAACCCAGGAGACAGAAATCTTCATATTCACCGCTGCGAAAACCTCAAATCATACATAAAGAGGCTTATCTTTAAATAAATTCAAAGAAAGGAAGTGTATGTCTCGTTAGCTTTTTCAAGATAAAATCATAGCACAGCTATTAAATTTGTTAAAAATTTTGTGAAGTGCTTGTCTCTTCCCTTTGATCATCGTTGCCGCCTTACAACAGAGATGACCTGTACAGATCAGTCATTTGACTAGTTTCTTCTTTCGTTCCAGTTCCGGTGTTTTCCTGACAACTTCGTATATATGACCTATACTTACTTATCTGAGCATCTATTGTCAGAAAGTCTGTACAGCTTGTAATAATTTTATGAGTAACTTACAGTGCATATAGTACGCAAATTTGTACAACTTATGCACTCCGATTCATTGCTAATATACGAACGATGTAGGCGTAATTAAATATCCACAGAACCAGTTAAGTCCAATTTTATTCGTTATCTATGCAGCAGAAATACGCTTCCTAAATTATTAATATTACCGAGCACATTTATTACACACAATTTTTCCAACAGCCTCTTCACTCACGATCTTCTAAATTCTGCGTGAAATAACGGTTATTAGAAACAGAATCGCTCGTCCCTCCGCTTAGAGCATCTCATGTGGGCGGGCGACGTTGTTCCCACTTCGGATCGACCCCCTGCTCTGCACAGCCAACCCTGGGGTTTCCATACTAAACGTTTCCCAACCCGGAACTGCAAGACAGGGATTTGAAACGAGCCTTACGAGGTTCCAAACACGCTGTAGGAACCGAAGTGCAAAGGTGTACATCAATCTGAAACACATAGTTTACGAATGTAATATTTACTATTATTTAATATCACTCGTGGCTCAAAGTAACTAATTCTGTTAAAATAATCCGAACTATCAACACAATTTTCAGTAGCACTGATGACCCTGGATTGGATTCTGCGCTTTATCAAGGATGATTAAGTCTAGGAGGATGGAAGGGTTGGGACATGTAGCACGCGTGGAAGAGATGAGAAATGAAGACCCACACGTAGATGTGTGGAATACTATGGATTTAGTAAAGTGTATATTAGATTCGACTGACTTTGGATAAGGTCCAGTAGCGGGGTCTTATGAAGGCGGTAATGAACATTCTCGTTCCATAAAACGAGAGGAATTTGACTCGTTAAGCTTCTTACGAAGGACTCAGCGCCATGGAGAAATATAAAGTTAAATTACAGTTTCTTGTCGACTGTGGCTTTAGTAGAACAATGTGGACCAAAATTAAATTCGCCCGGCAGGTTTCAATACAAAGTCCCAAAACTAAGTTCTATTAATATTCGTTAGGTAATTTAAGAGATGAATATATTTTTGTAACCAGACAGAAGAACGCTCAAAAACCTTTTGCCAGTTCTCTTGTTTCGTAATCGGGGAAGTTTCCCATTCGAACGTAGGGTAGGAGACTACGTATACTGCTTCAAGTTTATCAGAAAAAGAAAACGGATCTAGAGATTCTGAAACATGATTACATCAAGTCCATTTTTTAAATTTAATTTCGTCGATATGAGAATGGGCATTAATCTGTTGACTAAGTTTTCCACTTTTTCATACTTAAATTTACCAGCGGTTTCGTGCCAATCGGTAAAATAATTTCGATATTAACATGTAAATTTGTATCGACATATCTTTCTCATGTTTAAAGAGAATTTTATAATATGGCATTTGATACCGATATAATTTTATTATACACGTCATAATCACACCATTTTGTCTTAAATTTAATGAAGACAGTACGGCAAGCTATTCGATATGTTTTTGCATCCTCAGAAAATATTAATTTAACTTCGCAGACGTGTCAGACAGGCATAGAACGCAAATATTGTTTGAAATTTTTTTAATGAAAGTATTTAATTGGTAATGGAGCCTGAAGTTTCAATACTCCTAACACCGAAATTCGCAAGTGACCGCAGTTCTGATCCAGTGCACAAATATAAATTATGTAAGATTTGAGGTTTTAATAGCGGTGAGTATGAAGATTTCTATCTTCTGGTTTGTTGCGCTGTGTAGTCTGGTCGATGTTTCAGAGGTCATACTGCCTCCGTCATCAGGGCGATGAAGATTTCTGTCTTCTGGGTTGTTGCGCTGTGTAGTCTGGTCGATGTTTACCAACGTTTCAGAGGTCATACTGCCTCCGTCATCAGGGCGATTCTTAGTATGAAGATTTCTGTCTTCTGGGTTGTTGCGCTGTGTAGTCTGGTCGAT